AAAAGTCGAAGAATTTCCGAATCGACGCTCTTCTGGCCATAGAGCCCCCCAAGGTTCAGACGTCCCCCCTGGCTCTGGTCACCTCGTTATCCTCGTCCTCGGGCAGCCCCCCCTCTGATCACCCCGACATGAGGACGGAGAGCCCCTCCCCCCCCAGGACTTGTGGTCTGGTCCCCAAACCCGGTTTCCTGAGCAGCCACCAGCACCCCGGCACCATGATGAGCCTGCACCCCCGGGAGGAGTGGGGATCCCCCCTCAGGCTCTCTATGGACACCCCGTCTACAGCTACTCAGCGGCGGCAGCCCTGGCGGCGGGGCAGCACCCAGCCCTGGCCTACCCTTACCCCCATATTCAAGGGCCACACCATGCCCACCCTGTGGATCCCATCAAGATCAGTGCCGGCACCTTCCAGCTGGACCAATGGCTCCGAGCCTCCACCGCTGGCATGATGTTACCCAAAATGGCAGACTTCAACTGTGAGTACCCCGATGTGGTCACTGCGGGGAGGGGGAGCAGCCAAGCCTGGGACGGTGGAGGAGGTGACAGGGAGCAGGTCTAAGCTGTGCATACCACCCTTTACTGATGGCAAAACTGCCAACATTGTCACCACAAGGGGGGGGGGGGGGGTGGCAGAGGTAACAGGTCTAATCTGTGCATACCACCGTGCCATCCACCCTTTACTGATGGAAAAACTGCCAACATTGTCACCACAAGGAGGGGGGGGGGGGGTGGCAGAGGTAACAGGTCTATGCTGTGCATACCACCGTGCCATCCACCCTTTACTGATGGAAAAAACTGTCACCAGTGTCACCCCAAGGGGGGGCAGGGATGGCAGAGGTAACAGGTCTAAGCCATGCATGCCACCCCCCTTGCCAACCTACAGGGAGCGATCTAGAATGTGATGTATGGATATTATAGAATGGACTCCAATGAATGCGAGCATTAACATACAGAATAATACATCTAATAATATTATTGTTACCCGAATGTTTTATAAGCCTGACATAAACATCTAGTAACCAAAACTACCCAAGATTCAATAAATTCATCCAAAATTCGATTTCTGTGTAGATGACTAGATCATGGAAATAATGAGGAATAATGATTTACTAAAGAAGTTAAAAGCCATCATGCAATAAATTATGCGATTATTCAATTTAGTTATCCAGCTATAGAAGCAAATTCTGCTTTTCTTATTTCTTTTGCATAGGATTGGATCAATGAAGTAATTATTCACAGACCTTATTAAAAAAACAGAAAAGTAAATGTATTTGTAATATATTTTTATATCTGGAAATAAATAAATAATAATAATAATACAAAAAATATATATATATATATAGATACATATTAATAAGCATACATTAGTAAACATTATTCGTATATTTTTTTTACTTTATTGCCAAAATTTATTATAATAACAGATTTTAATTAACACATTACAGTTCAACATAATGAAATCCATTCTGACTGCTATTACAGTATAGTGTGCCCAGTTACTATATTAGTACAATTTTAATTAGTTATTATATTATGAACATATCTTCAATTGTCCTGTGTTTTATGTTTATATTTATACAAAACATAAACCTATAAACCTTACTTATGTTTGTTTATCTATCTATGGTCTATATATTTAGATAGATAGATAGATAGATAGATAGATATTAGATTCTCAGCTCATGAATGACAAACATACTGATACTTTGTATGACGTAATAAACACTTTTTCATTATGTCTGACGTCATTCCTATTTCAGTCAAGTTGTGTTTTTTTTTTTTCTCCTTAAGCTGTGAATTCCTTTCTGTACAGGCTTCCTCTGTCCCTTCTGCTTCTATTTAGCAGCCTATAACAGGCTATTTAGCGCTGTCTGTCAGCTGGTAATGTTTATACTGGGAGATGTCACAGAGGTGAGAGATTCTGAAGACAGGCCAGTCATGTACTGTTCCTCTGCAACCCATTCCCCTCCAGGATGACATCCTGTCTCTGACCACAAAACCAGTCCAGCTTTCCAGTGGTCGGGGGGTCACCAGCCAGGCTGGGCCACCATGGGACAGAACACAATACACACTCATATAAATGGTACATTGATGCTCAGTGTTCCAAGTGATAGACGTCCCCTTTAAATTCCGTTTTATTCGTGTTATAGTTAATGGGGGGGGGGGGCTTGTAAATATAAGGGTTCCTATTTTTATTAATACAAGGATATAGGGGTCTTATTTGATTAATACTGATGATAATGGGGTTTTATTTGAACAATAAATAGATAACTGTTTGATAATATTGGTTCTAATTTGTAATAATAAATGATAACTGGGGGGTAAAGTTCTTTCCATTTACATAAGGATAACGAGATGATGATAATAGGATCCTATTTTATTAATATATGTAGATATGGGTTCCTATTTTCTTAATACAAGTATGTTGATATTTTTTTTTTTTTTTTTATTATTATTATTATAAGACAGGATTTATATAGCGCCAACAGTTTGCTCAGCGCTTTACAATATAACGGGAGACAATACAGCAACAATACAGTTCAATACAGGAGGGATAGGAGGGCCCTGATCCTTGGAGCTTACAATCTCATTATATAATTTCATTATATAAGTATGTTAATATAGATTTCATTTTATTATTATAACTACGATGATAAGGGTTCCTATTTTCCTATTATAAGTATGATGATAAAGTTTTTTTTTTTAATTATTATTATTATTATTATTAGTAGTAGTAGTAGTAGTAGTACTGGTAGTGTGATGATGATATGGATTACGATTTTATTATTATAAATATGGTGATAAAGGGTTTTTTTTATTATTAAAAGTATGATGATATAGATTACTATTTTATTATTATAAGTTTGATGATATAGGTTTTATTTTATTACTATAAGTATGATGATGTGGGTTCCTATTTTATTAACATAAGGATAACTATGTAATATGGGTTCTTATTTTATTAATACAACCAGGTTCTATAACTGTTTGAGTACATAGGATCTTATTTTATTAATATCTGGATAATGATGTGAATATGGTTATTAACACAGGGATATCTGGGTGATATGGGTTCTTATCTTCTTACTACTTAGATATCTCTGTGAATAAATTGATTCATCTTTTATAAATATATGGATAGCTGTGGAAGGCTTTCAGGCTGTGAATACAACATAATGCATCATTTGCAGCAGGAGTAATGACAAGCCTTGTGTCCGGTTATAAGGGTTTAATACCCCTGTTTCTGATACACTGACTGTGGGAAGAATAATTCCCTCACTGTATATATATATATATAATATATATATATATATTATTTATATATATATATGTATGTATGTGTGTGTATGGTGTATATACATATATCTGTCTCTTCTATTGACCCCTAGGGAGGCCTAATGATGGAACATTACCGCAGACCACCCGACTGCCTATTGCAGCGCTGTGTATCATTCCCAATGTGACACTTGAGTCTATTGCTTTTAATTAAAGCTGTAATGTATTAAGGCAACTAAAACGGGGGTGTGAGCAATCCCTATAGATAATTAGCCTGCCCCAGGAATATTTTAAAATAACTGTTATATTTGACCACGGTTTCTTTATTTTAAATCAGGTGCTGGAAATGACAAGAAATAATAGCCTTCCCTAGAAATAATTTCAAAAATAATAAATACCGTACATTTCAATGTATTTTGCCATATTTTACTATTATTTGAAATCCGTGATCACACCATATAAATTACTTTGAATAGAGATGTGGTGGAGGTATGTGTTCTATGTTATATTTCCTTAGGATGTGCCCGATATTATCATCCCCCATGTCATCTGTGCTGTCCCTTTATCTGGGTAGATCTTGGCAGTGATGAGTCAATACGATAAGCTCGGGCTATTTTAACTGCTGCAGAGAAATCCAAGGATCCTTGCTAAAACAAACACCCTGCTTATCAGATAAAGGGAATTACATCTTACAACAAGGCTCTAGCACTTATCAGGCCGATTACAAATCAAAGCCTCGTCACATTGCTGCTTTCATGTTCTCTAATGGCCCGCAGACACATTCCGGCCGGCCGGCTGTACTCCCAGCGCTGAGCAAACGCCGCCAGTCCCTCCGGCTCAGTACTGAGCAGACCTGCGTGTGTACTACACCTGGCATCACATATATGTAATTTAAAATCTCTATCGGAGTAGTGTGTTAGAATAGTAATATATTTCAAATAATACAGAAACTCAAAATACCAGAAAATGCTCTGTCTTATTTCAACATCGATATGTCACATTTTTTTATTTATTATTACTACTGTTATGTTAGTTTTATTATCATTTATTGTGTTCTTTTTTTTCTTCTTCTTTTCTTCTTCTTTTTTATATAATGGTAGTAGTATTAGTGGTATTGCTGTTATTATTATTTATAATTAATAATAGTAGTATTAGTTATTTCTGTTTTTATTATTATTATTACTATAATTATATATATAATAATAGTAGTAATAGTATTGCTATTATTATTATTATTTACAATAATAATTGTTTAGTATTAGTTATTCTGTTATTATTACTATTATTATTATATATAATAATATTTGTAGTAGTAATATTAGTATTGCTGCTGTTATTATTATTAATTATAATAATAATAATAATAATATATTATTATATATAATAATAGTTGTAGTTGTATTAGTATTGCTGTTGTTATATTTATTACTATTATTATATATAGTAATAGATGTAGTAGTATTAGTATTGCTGCTGTTATTATTAATATTATTTTTATTAGTAGTAGTAATTGTAGTAGTATTGCTATTATTATTTACATTATTATTACTGTTGGTATTATGATCATTATCATTATTATTACGAATGCCACTATTATTATTATATTATTATATTAGTAGTTACTAGTAGTGGTAGTATTGCTGTTATTATGACTTTTATGCTGATGATGAATATTATTCTTACCTCTGTTGTTATTATTATGAATATTATTGCTGTAATTTTTGCAGTTTTTGCTCTTCTTGCTCTCATCTCTTGCTGTGTGTTGGTTGTTGCCCCGCAGCCCAGGCTCAGTCCAATCTGCTGGGGAAGTGCAGAAGACCGAGGACAGCCTTCACCAGCCAGCAGTTGTTGGAGTTGGAACACCAGTTCAAGCTGAACAAATACCTCTCCAGACCGAAACGTTTCGAGGTGGCCACATCGCTGATGCTCACAGAGACCCAGGTACATTCAGTTCAATAACTTCTTCACACCTCCCTTCTTCTGATTTACTAAAGAATGGCTGACATGACTCCATTGGGTGCTGGTTAGCTGGAGTGCTCAGTGTTTAGTGAATGGCCTCTTTGTCAGCAATTACTTAAAACGTCAGTGTAATTAATATATATATATATATATATATATATATATATATATATATATATATATATATTATATAAAAATATATATATATATTATATATATATATATATATATATATATTAATCTCCAGTGTAATATATGTAATCCCCTATGTAATATATATCCCTTTTTTGTAATATATACAGCACAATCCTCAGTTTATATACAGTATCATTCTCTCTGAAAATTGTGTGGCCACTTAAGAATTGTCCCTGGGAAAGTCCTTGTTTTACTGAGGGTCCAATGAATTACAATTGGTATGTAATTCTGAATTATTATTGATGTTCTATCTAGACACTTATCTGTGGATATTCTTGTTTCTTTTCCTCAGCAAAAAGGTCCCTGAAAATGATTTTTATGGTCCTGGAAACTGCAGATGAGAGCTTAGACTGCTACTTGGCTATGCTGGGATTTGTAGTTGCCCACCTCTTCTTGGGTGTGTGTCGCCTGTAAACACCAACTAATAGGTGGTATTTTAAGAAAGATTTGAGGAGAGTGGAGCAGTTACTCATAGCAACCCACTAGATATTTATCTAAAAGAGGAAGACTGACTGGTTGCCCATATGATACATTACCTGTGCTTGGGGTTTCAATAAATCAGTCCAAAAGACAGTGTGGCAGATATAGAAGATGTATGGAGCCGAGTGACTTATGGTGGGAATATTAATACTGTATATAGGTCTGGATATACAAAGAATAAAATAGCAGCACAGGAACAGCAGTGACAGTGTGGGGATGGTGTGCAAAAACTGGAGCTCATTTAATAGATATAATCTGATTGGTTACTGTGGGCAGTTGATGCAATTTAGCTTCAGTTTTATTTGCTGCAGCACACATGAGATGAGACAGTGGGAGCTATTGTTATTATGAGGCTGTACTAAGGGGGGCATTGTTACCCCAGACAACTACCTGATCAGGCACAAAATGACCTAATAAAACACAGATTTACCCTGACCTGTCTGTTGGAAATCAGAAGTGAACATGCGCTGGGCTGGTAAAAGACTCTTAGTAAATCAGACCCATAAAATGTTGCTGCATCCTACTCCAGTTTAACAATCATTGAAGGTGTCATTAAAATCTGTAGATGTGAGCTGAGCTGAGTCCAGAATAGGTTCAGCAGCCTGTAATGATATCTGATGTATGGCAAGTATGCCTTACCTGATACCAGATATACTACACCTGTCTGTCTATAGAACAATCAGCATATGACTAGGTGAGCTACGTGGATTATAGGTGGAGCCATGTCTTTGGAGAGCCTTATCATAGTTGGAAGCATTCTGTGAGAGAATTACATTGCTTAAATTACAGGTGGAGCTATTACTTGTAAAAATGAGACTTCAGGTAGATCCATGCCTTGGTAGAACTAAGTTCAATGGAGCGATTGTTTAAAAAAAAAAATAGATTACAGGTAGAATTACAACTTAGGAGAACTAAGTTAAAGGCGGAGTTATTACTTGGAAGAATTAGACTAAAGGTAGGTCCATGTTTAGAGAGAACTAAATTACAGGTGGAACTATTCTGTTGGGGGGGCTACATTACAGATGGAGCCATTAGCTTATAAAGTTAGCTTACAGGTGGAGGCATTTCTCTGGAGAGATAGGATTCCAATCTCCTGTATTATATTTATTTCAGGTACTTATATAGCGCTGTCAATTTACGCAGCGCTTTTACATTCACATCAGTCCCTAATCTTCAAGGGGCGTACAATCTAAGGTCCCTAACTTACATTCATGCATACGCATACTAGGGCCAAATTAGACAGGAGCCAATTTACCTACCAGTGTGTCTCTGGAGTGTGGGAGGAAACTGGAGGAAACCCACATAGGTACATGGAGAACATACAAACTCCAGGCAGGTGATGCTGTGGTCAGGATTTGAACCAACAACCCTAGTACTGCCAGGCAGAAGTGCTAATCATTTAGCCACTGTGCTAAATGGTTATATATATAAATTTTATCATATATTCAATCTGGATAGTGTAATGGACCCCTTTATCACATTCATGTTATTTTCCATCCCATTGTGCGTATTAAGAGAACAGCTGCTGGTACATCATATCACACCTGTAGGATGGTGCTTTACATGGACTCCCTTTGTTCTAGGCTGCCTGGAGTCAGTGCGGCTCACATTTAGAGCCACCTACCATCCCTTCATACCTGTACAATATGCAGAATGTATACTCAATAGCTGAGCGGTGGTGATCAATGGGAGCCTTGTACAGTGAGTAGGGATTGAAGAGTGAAATTACTGGGTTTGGTTGCTCAGGTACACTTTCCTTAGCATTAATTCTCTACAGGAGCTTAGTGGTAGATATATATATATATATATAGGCAGAAGTCTTCAATTCTTATCTTGGACTACAGAATGATTAGCTATTATGTGTAAAGATCTGAGAGTGGACATTGATAAGGGGTTTAGGAAAAGACATTGGGCAGGGCTGACACCGCTCAGTCCACAGAAATGCTGGTATTAAGAGCTGATTGCATTTCTGGCAGATCATCATGTATTATTCTATACTTGCAGGATCTTTAAAGAGATAAAACATGTGGACATGTACATGTATTGTATATGTTTTTATTTATTTTGCCTTGATTCATGCTTTATTAAAAGGGAATGTCTACTAATGAGTAGGGTGAAGCCTTGCTCTCTTGGCATATTACCTAGTCATGTGAATTTTGCTTCAATATGATTGGGTGATTGAACTAAATGCAAGTTCATTTGATTGGTTAATACCCACTGCAAAGGGAAATACTGTGTTACTCTAGGTTATTAAATGCACACCAAAAAATAAACACACAGACACAAGGTACATTATTATTATTATTGTTTAAAATAATATTTTTAGTTATTAATAACTAAACTCTTTAATGCCGACTAAAATGGAAAAAATGCATAATTAGGGCAAATATTCAGTCAGTTAATTCAGTTAATTGCAAATATGAAATCAGAAATTAACTTTCACTGTATTGATTGCTATATGCACCAGCACCTTATTCTAACTGGTCTGGGCTGTGACTATTGCCGGTTGTGTTATTGTCATTTTTTATTTTCCTGCTCATACCTCAGCTCTTCATTACACATGCAGGATATATTAATACATACCAGAGTGTGGAGCTCTTGCATGCTGTGTGATGTGTAAATTACACTGACATCCCTCCATGCTATGAACCGTTAATAATAATGAACCCAGTCCCTATAGCTATGTGTTGTCCATAATATAATGTGTTCACATGGATAAGACTGGCAGGATTCTTGTTTGTTTAGAAGGTGCTAGATCACCATGGATGGGAGCTGGGAAATGACAACCCATTCTCCTAGTGAGGAGATCTGAGGATCAGGGATTCTGGGAAGCCTCTTCTTGCATAGGTGTCCGTTTATGAACCAGCAGTAATAGATCGCTGCTCAGTTCTCCGGCATTCTCGGAGAACACAGTTCTCCCTGTGAATGCAGTTTATGAAGCAGTTCTCTGAACGAAGGGAGAACGGTCTCCAAACGCTGGAGAACGGTCTACAAACTCTGGAAAAACGGCTGATTTTACTGTAATCTCGCGAGATTACAGTAAAAGATCAGTTTACTAAGCAGAAGTAAATCATCTCTGCTTAGTTTTGCGGTCCCTCTGATTCTCCAGCTCTGGGCTGGAGAATCTGGAGGGAGAACACAGATCTCCAGTGAAGGGCTGACATGATCTCCTGAGTGTCATAAACTGTGAATGACCAGAGAATAGCTGAGATCCGTTGAATCGCAGCTATTCTCTGTGTCATAAAAGGACACCATAGTCTGTTGCACTGATTGTGTGTAATTTACATATATATTCATGTTAAAGTGGAAGACCTTTTATCTACATTGTATAGTCAAAATAAGAAATAAGATACAAATATAGCACACAATATACTACATTTTAAAGTGTCTAAGGCTGTCTCTAAACTGACTATTGCCTGAAACCCTTTAGACAGTGGGGGTTATTCACTAAAACTGGAGAGTACAACATCTGGTGCAGCTCTGCATAGAAACCAATTAGCTTCCAGGTTTTATTGGCAAAGCTTCATTAAACAAGCTTAAGTTAGAAGCTGATTGGCTACCATGCACAGCTGCACCAGATTCTGAGTGTTCCAGTTTTAGTAAATTCCCCCGTGTCAGCATTGTTTCTGAGAAGTTACTCTGCTGCTTATTAGAACAGGGGCACCCATGATGTCAGCAGAGCCGTAACATAGAGCAACCAATCAGATTTGGATTTCCTTAGAGCAATGTGGTGTGCAGGGGCTGCAGGGCAATATGTGCAGGTGACATCTTCTCTGCATAAAATCCAAGCAGTGATGTTCTATCATTCTTTTTATATCCATGAAAGGTGAAAACATTATAAACAAAGCAAAATTCTCCAATAACAGGGGAAAATGCTTTTGCCATGTTCTGTGTTTTAGAATTAATTACTAATTCTAAAACTAAATTGTGTACCTGGCGATATCACTGCTTTGTAGCTATGCTATAAAATTCTCATGTTCTGCATTTTTAAATTTGAGTGTATGTTCTGTGAGGTTTTTTTTGCTTTTATAAAGAATTTTATTATTATTATTATATACAGGATTTATATAGCGCCAACACCTTGCTCAATGCTTTACAATATAACGGGAGACAATACGGCAACAACACAGTTCAATACAAGAGGGTTAGGAGGGCCTGATCCTGGGAGCTTACAATCTAAGAGAGACCATTTACATTTGTGCAGAGCAATAATGCATGTGCGTTAACACGCATCAAGTCACATGCATTGCATTAAGATGACCCATTGAAATCAATGGGCTTCTGATGCACCAAAACACTAAAAAAAACTGGGCATGTCACAAAA